GCGGCGGCAGCAGCAGCAGCAGCAGCAGCAGCGGCAGCAGCAGCAGCAGCAGGACACACCGAAGGAGATGTGAAGTTGGAATTCCACTAAACTAAGTACGTATGCCGTACGTTACGGGCCGTTTGTGGGAATCCACCAGGGAAGAATCGATGACGTCTGTTAAACATTCAGACTTTTGCTCCGTTTCCTGGTGTTTTTCTAACGGAGGCTCGGACTCAACAAACCCCGGACTAACGTTCAAACGGACGACTGGTTTTTTACTTGTTTTTTCCTGCATGGATGTCTCTCCTCCCGCTCGGTGTGTGTTTTCACCGCATCCTCCCATCATTTGTAGGATTACGTTATTTTTGTCAAATCCTTTTACTTTGTTTTATTTCTTCAACGCGTCGTTTGTTTTCAGCACCGCGGACAGCGCTCTGCTGGTCCCAGCGAATCTTGGAATTCTGCAGTGTTTTTACCGGGTCAATGAATCCATCCATCCATCCATCCATCCGTCCATTTATCCATCCATCCACCTGTCCATCCATCCATCCGTCTGCCCATTTATCCATCCATCCATCCTTTCATCCATCTGTCCTTCCATCCATCCATCTGTTGTCCATCCATCCGTCCGTCCATCCATCCGTCCATCCATCCATCCATCCATCCGTCCATTTATCCATCCATCCACCTGTCCATCCATCCATCCGTCTGCCCATTTATCCATCCATCCATCCATTCGTCCATTTATCCATCCATCCATCCGTCTGTCATTCATCCAATCGTCCGTCCATCCATCCATCCATCCACCTGTCATCCATCCCTCCATCCGTCCCTCCATCCATCCATCCCCCTGTCATCCATCCATCCAACCGTCCGTCCGTCCATCCATCCATCCACCCACCTGTCATCCATCCATCCATCCATCCACCCGTCCATTTATCCATCCATCCCCCTGTCATCCATCCATCCAACCGTCCGTCCGTCCATCCATCCCTCACCCTATCATCCATCCATCCATCATCCATCTGTAGAAACACGGCCCAGTACCAGTGACAGTAAAAACCAGACCTTTAATTCTGTAGAATTCAGAATGAAAACCCTGGTCACTCTTCTCTCTCTTCTCTCTCTTCTCACTCTTCTCACTCTTAGCTCATGGATGACTCTGTGCATCATGTCAGCTGAGACTCGACCATCACCGCTTCTTCATCCAACACTTGTATATTTCACCTTTGGTCAACAGTAAGAATTAAAGTTCTTGCCTCCATTTTGAAGCTCGTGACAGAGCGAGGCTAAAACTGAAGTCGTCTTTAAACAGACGTGTTCCACGGGCAGATACGCTGACCTCTGCTGGATCATCTGTATCAGAGAACGGTCATTATCATTGGACGCTGGGTTTCTTGATTTATCACCTAATTGGTTATTCTTTAACAGATGTCACGCAGCTCAGACCACAGAGGCTGAGATTCAGTCAAATCAGATAAATCAGTCACAGGAACAGTCACAGGAACAGTCCCAGGAACAGTCACAAGAACAGTCCCAGGAACCATTAGAGGAACAGTCACAGGAACCATTAGAGGAATAGTCCCAGGAACAGTCCCAGGAACAGTCCTAGGAACAGTCACAAGAACAGACACAGGAACAGTCCCAGGAACCATTAGAGGAATAGTCACAGGAACAGTGACAAGAACAGTCCCAGGAACCAATTACAGGAACAGTCACAGGAACAGTCACAGGAACAGCCACAGGAACAGTCACAGAAATAGTCACAGGAACAGTCAAAGGAACCATTACAAGAACAGTCACAGAAACAGTCACAGGAACAGTCACAGAAACAGTCACAGGAACAGTCACAGGAACAGTCAAAGGAACAGTCACAGGAACAGTCACAGGAACAGCCACAGGAACAGTCACAGAAATAGTCACAGGAACAGTCAAAGGAACCATTACAAGAACAGTCACAGAAACAGTCACAGGAACAGTCACAGGAACAGTCACAGGAACAGTCAAAGGAACAGTCAAAGGAACAGTCACAGGAACAGTCACAGGAACAGTCACAGGAACCATTACAAGAACAGTCACAGGAACAGTCACAGAAACAGTCAAAGGAACAGTCAAAGGAACAGTCAAAGGAACAGTCAAAGGAACAGTCACAGGAACAGTCAAAGGAACAGTCACAGGAACAGTCAAAGGAACAGTCAAAGGAACAGTCAAAGGAACAGTCAAAGGAACAGTCAAAGGAACAGTCAAAGGAACAGTCACAGGAACAGTCAAAGGAGCAGTCCCAGGAACCGTTTGCTGGACCAGACCATCCTTGTGCCAGTGCTGTGATTCCCCTCAGTTGCAGCAGCGAGGACTGAAGTTTGCGTTGGAGAACGGACTGATCTTCAGCTTCAGATGGTTTTCTGGTTTCTGTGCTGACGACTTTCTTGGACTTTTTTCTCCTACGACTCAGAGCTGTTTGTTTGTTACGACTGGGACAGAAACTGAACTCAGTTTCCTGCTGTCGTGACATCCACTCACATTCACTGTTGATGTTGTTGCGGTTGTTGTTGTTGTTGTTGTTGTTGTGGTTGTTGTGGTTGCTGTTGTTGTTGTTGTTGTTGTTGTTGTTGTTGTGGTTGTTGTGGTTGCTGTTGTTGTTGTTGTTGTTGTTGTTGTGGTTGTTGTGGTTGCTGTTGTTGTTGTTGTTGTTGTTGTTGTGGTTGTTGTGGTTTGGGGCTGGAATCACACACACACTGTCATATTTTCTGTGTTGATTTAAATTCACTCAAACCTTTTTCTTCTTTCCTCTCTCTGAACTGAAACAACAGTTGGTGTTAATGTGTCCACCACTGCACAATCACTAACCCTCCCCCTCTCCCCCCCGTCCCCCNTCTGTCCTCGGAGCCAAGACTTCCTCTCCTCGGTGTCAGCAAGGATGCTGTGGGTTACCTTGCTGAGCACCGTAGCCTTAGGATGGAGCACCCCGATCCCACTGCTGGAGGACTCCGAGGAGATCGACGAGCCCTGCCTGGAGCCCTGCTACTGCGAGGTCAAAGAAGGCCTGTTCCACGTCCACTGTGACAGTAAGGGATTTACAAATGTCAGCCAAATCTCCCAGATATGGAGCCGGCCCTTCAAGCTCAACCTGCAGAGAAACTCCATGAGGAAACTGTACTTCAACAGCTTTCAGCACCTCAACAACGCCATCGCCATCAACCTGGGGAACAACGCTCTGCAGGACATCCACGCGGGAGCGTTCAACGGGTTGGGAATTCTCAAACGGCTCTTCCTACATGAAAACAAACTGGAAGTTTTCCGAAACGACACCTTTCTCGGGTTGGAGAGTTTGGAGTACCTCCAGGCGGACTACAACGTCATCAAAAGGATTGAAAGCGGTGCGTTCAGGCACCTGCACAAATTAAGAGTGCTCATCCTAAATGACAATCTAATCCCCGTGCTCCCGAATTATCTTTTCCGGTCTGTGTCTCTCACACACCTGGACCTGAGAGGAAACAGGCTGAAGATACTGCCGTACAAAGGCACGCTGGAGTACGTGGGCAGGAACTTGATGGAAATCCAGCTGGAAGAGAACCCCTGGAACTGTGTGTGCGAGATCGTCCAATTGAAGACATGGCTGGAAAGGATCCCGTACACGGCGTTGGTGGGTGAAATTACGTGTGAGTATCCGTTTCACCTACATGGGAAAGACTTACGGGAAATCAAGCGCAGCGAGCTTTGTCCTCTGCTCTCCGACGGTGAGATCGAGGCCAAACTCGGAATTCCCAGGATCCCGTTCAGCACTGAGAACACGTGGCCTACTAAGCCATCTTCCATGCTGTCCTCCTTTCACAACACAGCCTCTTCTGTGGAATACAAGGAGAAACTTAACGTCAAGCCCACTAAAAGGCCACGGCCCACAAAAAACCCCCCCACCCCCCCCAGCACCTACCCCGGCCTCCATCAAACCCCCCCCGCCGGCTGCCCAACAAACACAGCCTCTTCTGTGGAATACAAGGAGAAACTTAACGTCAAGCCCACTAAAAGGCCACGGCCCACAAAAAACCCCCCCACCCCCCACAGCACCTACCCGGGCATCAATCAAGCCCCTGTGGCCGGTTATCAAACAAGACCTCCCATTCCCATAATCTGTCCCTCCGGCTGCATTTGTAACCTCCACATCAATGACCTGGGCCTCACCGTCAACTGTAAGGAAAAAGGCTTCCACAACATCTCCGAGCTCCTGCCGCGACCCCTCAACGCCAAGAAGTTGTATCTCAGTGGGAACTTGATCCAGAAAATCTATCGTTCCGACTTCTGGAATTTCTCAAGCTTGGACTTACTGCATTTAGGGAATAACCGCATATCTTACGTTCAAGAGGGGGCATTTATCAACCTGCCCAACTTAAAGAGTTTATATCTGAATGGGAATGACATCGAGAAGCTGACGCCTGGGATGTTCCGCGGGCTCCAGATGTTGAGCTACCTCTACCTGGAGTACAACGTCATCCGTGAGATCCTGCCTCATTCCTTCACCTTGATACCCAACCTCCAGCTGGTGTTCCTCAATGACAATCTTCTGCGCTCCCTCCCCACCGATGCCTTCGCTGGCACCGATCTTGCACGCCTTAACCTTCGCAACAACTATTTCCTTTCCTTGCCCGTGCGTGGCGTCCTAGAGCATTTAACCTCTCTTGTCCAGATTGACCTTCACCAGAACCCGTGGGACTGCTCCTGCGACATCGTCCCCCTCAAACAGTGGGTGGAAAAACTATCGTCCGTCATCGTGGTCGGAGAGGTCACTTGCAAGACCCCGGAGTTTGCGTTTGGAAAAGACCTGCGTTCGCTGGAGGTTGAGGTCATTTGTCCGGAGCTCAAGTATTCCTCCGGTCCTCCGCGCGCTCTGCCCGGCGGGGATGACCGTTCCACGGGGAGCTCCGAACTGGGGGAGGCGGACGGGAGAGGAGCTGTGCCGCTCTCCGTTCTGATCCTCAGCCTCCTCATCCTCTTCATCTGTGCCGTGTTTGTGGCCGCAGGGCTCTTTGCCTTCGTTCTCCGCCGCAGCAAGAAGCTGCCCTTTAGGAAACGCTCCGAGGTGGATCTGACCGGGATCCCCATGCAGTGCAGGATCTTTGAGGACCCACCGAGACACAGCGGTGTCGGGAACATCGGCACCCCAGAGAAACCAACTCCCGGTATGCACACGCACAATCACACGAGTCACGCACACGCCCACGGTCACGTTTATGACTACATCCCCCACCCTGTGACTCAGATGTGCAACAACCCCATCTATAAACCCAGAGAGGGGGAGATCGCAGAGGAGGACAGAGCGCAGTTCTCTGAAAAGAAAGACAACGGCTGCGGCGGCAACAGCAGTTACAGAACGCTGCTGGAGAAGGAGCGCGAGTGGAGCCTGGCCGTGTCCAACTCTCAGCTCAACACCATCGTCACGGTCAACCACGCCACCGCTGACGTGGCAGGCTTTCACGAAAATGGAGGCCTGTGCCCTACGGTCATCGACAGTCAGAGGCCGACGCCCACGGTGGGATTTGTGGACTGTTTATACGGAACCGTTCCTAAACTTAAGGACACACACGTGGCTCACGCACACCCTCCGGGCATGCAGTACCCCGACCTGCAGCAGGACGCACGACTGAAAGAAACATTGCTTTTCACGACGGGGAAAGTTTGCTACTCCGACCCGTCGCAAAACGAATACCTTGAATTAAGGGCCAAACTTCAAACCAAGCCGGATTACCTCGAAGTCTTGGAAAAATCCTACCGTTTTTAACGTCCGGAGACAAAGACGGAGGAAAGGAAAACAAAATACAACAGAGCATAAAAATCAACACACCCACTTTTTCACCCTTAAAACAAATCCAACCGACTACAGTATCGGGAAGAAAAAAAATGAACTTGAAAAAGCAGCATGGTATAAAATGAAATATTATATCACATTTCCAAACAACCTTTCTCCCAAAATCCCTCTGGAGGAGAGGCCATTCTCAGATGTTTCAATAAAGTGCCTTCTTTTCTGAGTAGCCAGCAATGTCAACAGCCGTTATTTTTATAGTATATAAATATGTGTATATGCCCACGAGAGACAAAAAAGCAAGAAGCGGGCGTTGGTGAATCTCCTGATATACATTTGTTACTAAAATCTCTTTTTATGGAGTTGTGCTGATGTCGAAGACACACGGGAGCTGGACGTCTCCCTGACTCGAGGCTCTTTTACCCCTGACTAGGATGTGCAAACAGCTGGTGGCGCTGCACGTAAAGTTTTTTCAGGATGTTATTTAAAGAAAGAGAGAGAGGGCGGGCGAGAGAGAGAGAAAGACAGAGTCAGACAGAGAGAGAGAGAGAGAGAGAAAAAAACGTATATATATATATATATATATATATTAAAAAACAAACCCACAAACTGCAGTTTGCTGCATGTACTCGCTTCAGAGCAGGAAGTGAGGAGATTGATTCTCTATCCTACGACAGCAGATCATAAACACAGACACAGACACAGAAACTGTTCAGTGTTCAGCTATTTAATTTTTATATCTTATTCATATGTTACACTATTAATGAGGACTTGTGTCTATATCAGGGTGCTCCTCGTACGGACGCTCCAAACGCACGGATGGTCAAACATTTGTGAATATTATTATAGGACAATGCTCAAGGTTTTTTGCTGGATATTCCCATGCACTAATGTTTTTCTCTCTCACACAAAGATTTGAAGAAAATGTGCATATATTTATTCTGTCATTTGAGTGAAGAGTTTAACTGTAATGTTAAATCAATGTACAGTGATGATGCGTCTGGTATAGCCTTCTTAATAAAAACAAACTCTTCAACTCTATGGTAAAAGGGTCGGTGCCACGGAGGTGTGTGTGTGCGGGGGGGGGGGGGGGTGGGGGGGGGGGGGGTAACTTTACACCGGCTGATTCGTTGAACAAAGACGACTTCCTGTTAGCTGCTTCTAGATCCAAGTTAAAAAGGCGCACAATATACAAACAAAACAAAGTGAACGCTGCTGGTGTTGGAGAGTGGAGGAAGAGGCACATCCACGTCCTCCTCCTAAAGTAGCAGTGTGGTTTCTAACCACTGGGGGGAGGTGAAACGGCATTTAGATTCAGAAGGCGTACAGCAGAGGGGGGGCAGGGGGGGCAACGTGGTCCCGTGATTTCCACTTTAGAGGACACTCAGTGTAATCGCAGATTTAATTATTGTCAAAAGAAATTAAACAAATTGAATTTTTTCACTGCACGGACTTTGAAGAATCAGGTGATTTGGTTTGTGAATTTCACTGCTTATATTTTTAAATAACCCTTCGTTTTCCCCACTATAGAAACTGTTATGGTTTGAATCTGGTTTGGGACCAAAAATAAAGTACACAAATAAAACAAGAAGACTTTAGTGCTGGGGGGGGGGACCGGCTGTTTTAGGACCTCATTATTTTTCTTTCTTTCCAAATGTGGAGGGTTATTTTCTTCTCTCGATGTTTCTAAATGTGAGACGTGAATTTCTGATTTTTTTTAGTTGCATGACGTGTGAACTGCTTTCATTTTGATGAAGAGTATTTACCCTCCTAAATTGAATGATATATATATATATATATTTCCCTTAAATGTGTAACTCCGAGCATATGTAGCAGTCCAGTCAGAAGCAGAAGATCTGAGACACAGGTTAGCAAGAACAAAAGGTTGATTTGTGTCGTATTTACCACTTCAATCTTGTCTTTGATGCTCGACGGAGGCTTTTATCTCAACACACTGTAAGACGTGCAGCGTTACGCCACGGTGGGTTGGTTCCTGTGCTGTGACAGCAGCGAGCTCCTCAGTTTGAGCCTCCCTACCTTCACCTTTACAAACACACATAAAGCTGTACTTCCCTGAGGTCAGACTACAGCATATATGGTCAGCATTTTGAGTATGCACTCACTTTGATTAAAGCCCAACACATCACTCTGTTCAGTGCGAACCCCGTCATCACTCTCAACCCTCAAATGAATAAATAAAGAAAAGTTTTGGGATTTCTGATGATTGATCTTCTACCTCTCGTCGTTCACTCTCCATCATCTCCCACTGAGTGGGCTCATCCCTCTAAATCCTCCTGTTATCCCAGTGAAGTGTTTCTCTCCGCCGTGAGCGGCCGACACGTCACGGCTGTGTCCTCGTCACCGACCTCTGTCTCTCTCTCTGGAGGTCGGTTCGTTCTTCTTCAAACTAAAACAAAGACGTGCAGCATGTTGTACGCCCAGTATTTGTGTTGTACTTCCTGTGTGTACTACGTAGATGCCCGCGTGCCTAACACTGTGATTGGTCCGTTTGGGGAACAGAGAATTATCTCCAGAATGCTGAAAAGGCTGATCTGCCTCTGACCGTGGTGCTGAAGTTGCATGATGCTGTTGGCGCTGCATCCAAGAAGATGTGTTCTACTTTTGGCTCATGCAAATGGCAGAGCTGCAGAGGTAGGTTCTGTCCTCTGTCAGTGACGGTGTGTGTGTGTGTGTATGTGTGTGTGTGAGAAAGAAGCGTGTGTGAAACGAGAGCAACCGGAGAATTCCTTTCGTGCCGACGGCTTCTTCTCTCTGCCTTTGTGTTGGACCAAAGTGCTCCACGTGCTGTCGTTCAACAGAAGTGTTGGCGGTGGTTGTTGGTGGAGATCAGTTCACTCTGAGTAAACTCTGCTCTGAGATTCTGGTCTAAAAATACAGAAAACTAAAGTTTAGACTCAGGGTCATTTCCTCTCAACTTCCTCTGTGTTAGCATTGACATTTAGCTGCTCCGCTCTGATGGTAAACACTTTGTGGAGAGAGGCCCCCTGCTGGTAGCTGGTATAGCCGAGCACTTTCAGGGGATCCATGCTAAATGTTTGGTATTCAGAGAAGCACTTAAGGGAACATGAAACTGAGCTGCTGATTAAATAATGAACGCATCAGACGCTGTGTTGAATTTATGACACTGAAACCAGAGCGCTGTAACGGAAACCACTGTGTTGGCAGAAGAAGAAGAAGAAGAAGGAGAAGAGAAACGTGAAAGTATAAAAAGTAGCTGCTCTGTGGTGGAAGGATCGTTATGGCGGCCAAGGATGGAAAATCCATTGGTTCCGTGGTCGGGGGGGTCGGGGGGTCGTCGTTATTCACCAGGTTAAATAAAGTCAAAACATATTTTATCCCCAAACTATGAATCAATTTGAACAGAAAACATCTCCTTCATTTACGATGATTAAAAACCTGCTCAAGTGAAAAGATCCAGCAGAGAAGGAGTGTGAGAACGACTTTGATTCTCCTGGAGCTGCTGTGGAGCTGCTGTGGAGCTGCTGTGGAGCAGTGTTCCAGAACATGAGGCCAAATATAGGGCTCCCAACTCAGAAAAAAGACAACAACGTGTAAGAAGCTCCTGAGCTGTCTCCTCCTCCACCCTCTGTCTCCTCCACCCTCTGTCTCCTCCTCCCCCCCCCCCCCCCCCACACCCCCGCCCT